TGGGCAATCTACTTCCGTAGTGATACCACCTCGGAAACCCAAGGAGGGTTCGCTATGAGTCGGGGCCGACTCGACAACAACATGGAACAGCTGGTGGGTTTGAACCACCGACTTTCTGGCTAGCAACCAAATGCCTCACACATGACACCACCAGAGCTCCATTTCTGATCATAAGGCAGGGTAAAAGCAAACAGATACAAAGCATATCTACCTACCATGGTTTTATTACAAAACACCCACTCACCTGACCATCACACAAGTGGCAGAAGCCCCGGATAATTTTCTGTTTATACAGCTGATCTGCCTTTAATTCCATTCTGCGAACAGTCTGCATCATCCTGTAGTATTTGAGCCCATCCTCCCTGGTGAGCACAGTTGTAACAGGGGGGCCTTCCTCCAATCGATGAAGATCACATTTCTGCAATGAAGTAAGGCATTTATCTTCCCCATTTATTACACTGTACATACTGCCAACTCACTCTAAAAATCCAGCTCAATCTCAAATAATGGGTAACTTGAAAAACAGCAAAGGAGCACATCAGAAGTGTTCCATGTTGCTTCTTAAATCTATAAACTTCACTGTGCAATGCAATGAGGTTTTCTGGGCAGGAAATCTTTCCTCTTAAAGATGACTTTCACCAAAAACCCCTACAAATCAACTGAGTTACAGGATGAAAGATATACTTTCAAAGAAACAGTCTAAGATACTTTCAAAGAAATAGACGAAGAATTTTCTTATTCAAATTTTTTCACATTCTAAACTTCGTAATAATTGTTTTATTTTCTTTAGCTCTCTACCAGGGAACACCAGCAAGCCACTAAGAATAGTCCATTCTAATCTTTGCTAAACTTCCCTATGAATCTGTGAATCTAGGATATAGGATATTAAGAAGACAATGATGAATTACTTTTCCATTGAACAATTTATACACACTTTGTTTTGTGGCATTGGTTGCAGTGCCCTCAATATAACAGCACTCTTCCCGTTTTCTCCCCGGGTTCCCCATTTCCATTTGTTTGCTGCCCTATCCCTGCTCTCTGAGGTTTGTTTTTGGTCTCATATGGTTTACTGTATTGAGGAGTAGGTTGCTCCCTGGTGTTACCATTCTCTTTATAGGCCTGTCTATAGTCTGGCTGAAAGTTGATCCCTGGAGGTGTTCCGTTCCAGGCTTGGAAAACTAATTTGCTCTGTAAACTTTCACTCAAATGACAAGGAAAAGTTCATATATTAAATTTATACTAAAAAGTTTTTAGACAACCATGGTATCTAAAATAAAAATTCAACCCAAGTGTTCAGGAAAAAAAAAAAAACTGAGTACTGAAGTGGATCAAAATTATAGGAGGCAGGTACAAGTTGATTATAAGCACACAGTATTCCGGCTACTAAGACTGAAAGAGTCTCTAACATCGGTATTAATGGAAGTACTATCAAATTTAGAGTTAACAAGGGAGATCACTTTGAAATATGAAGGGAAATGGGAAAAAGTGAAGAAAGAAATGTTAGAAATGTAAGAAACTGAGAAAATACAGTTTGAAATAAAATTCAGTAGTTCTCCATTATGGTCTTAATTTCTGATAAAATAAAAATATTTTAATAGAACATGGGCCTAAGGGCAAGATGGAGATCTTAGAGAGACTATTTTAAATAATGGCCAAAGATCTTTAAAAGACTTTTTCTTTTTTTAAATTGTGATTTGGTTGAAAGTTTAAGCAAAATCACTTTCCATATAGCAGCTCACATGTACTTAGTCTCTTGACTGTAATTTCCCACAATGCAACAGCTCTCCTCCCATAGTTACCTCTTCCCTGTGTCCTTCCCTCTCATGCACTCCTGTCCCCCTCCCAGCTGTCTCCCTGTGCATACAAAGCCCTTCTATTCTCCCTCCACATTGTTCTCTCTCTATATCCAGGATCTGCTACAGCAATCCCCCTCCAAGTGATTGACAGTGGTAGCCGAGCACCATCTAGTTCTTCTGGGCTCACAGTCCTATAGGCTGCGGAGTGCATGGTGTACCAGTAAAAGACTTTTTTTTTTTTTTAAAGGTCTAATGGTGAGTTGATTCATTGTGACTGGGTCAATTACTCTAGAGAATTCTTGTCATTATTGTGTTTTTGATGGCTACTTTTTTTCCCAGTAATACAACACAATCAAATATTTGCAACTCAAAAAAAACAATTTCAAGCCAGGAACTAAATTTAACCCCTGGACTCAGCTTTCAGCCAGATGATAGATAAGGAAGCTATGCACTCATTAGAACAACAAACCATATGAGATCAAAAAGTCAGCATGTGCCCAGGGATAAAGCTCAGAAGGCAGCAGGGATAGGAAAGAAGGATGAAGGGAGATGGTAAATACAGGGAAGAAGTTGGAAATGTCACAATGTGGGGATTGCAATCAATGTCACAAAACAAAATGTGTATGAACTGCTGACTAGAAAACTAGTTTGTTCTGTAAACTTTCACCCAAACTACAATTAGAAAAAAAAGAACTTAAAAGATTGGAATAAACAGAATTGGGACCACAAAATTTCATGTTTCACTGTAATTAAAAAAAATAAAAATCCCAACTAATTAATATATGATGCTTTGCAGAGGAAATTAAAATTGGAGAAATGAAGAAAGAAAATAGTGAGAAAGCACAAGTACCAAGATGTTCAATTCCAAAGATAAAACTGCAATGTCAAAGTGTACCTATGAAAAATTTATTAACCCAAAGTAAAACACCGCTTACCTTAATTTCAAATGTAGCATCATTTGCAAAGTTACGGGATGCCACCAGCACTCTGCTAGCCTTGAAAAAACAAAATATATATAAATTGATACTTTCTAATTGTCATTAATTTATTTTTGAAAGTTATAATCTATTATCAAGATGCAGTCATGGAACTTTAATAAGCTCCAGCATATTCATGGGCTCGTCTTCCATTCTGTTCACTATGTTGGCATATTCCCTGTTTTCCCAATCAATTCAGGATTTGGACAATGACATACCACTGAGGGAAAAGAGCAGAAAGAGGAGGAAGGAGGCAAAAACCAAACCTATCCACTTACTCACTTTGTTGCCACAGAAATTATAGCTGAGAACATGATGAAATTAATGGCTAAATGGAAGAGACCAGATAATCTATGGGCTTTAATTTGAACAGTCTAAGTTTTGGGTAGGCCCCTCGTGAAGCCCCAGAAGGGAGAAATGTTCTCCAAAACAGTGTGCTCTCAGCCAGGAGATAACCCGACCCCACAGGCATATTTCCTTTACCCTCATCTTTAAATGCTAAATTTTGAGAACAAAAATCTTCTCTATGGAAATTTTGTACCCTACACTTCTGCCCATCTAGAGATAAAGCAAGTAATCATGTGGAACAAGGGTATTCTGGAGTGGGCCATGGAAAGGAAAGGGGAAAGGCAGGAAAAGAAACCGATGTAAGATGTTAACTGTTGCATGATTTTGTATTTATCCTTAATTTGGTTCTGGTTGTCTCATGCAGGGTATTTTTTTTCTCTATGCTTAGAAACAAGGTGCATGTGTTTTCTAGTAAGGGTTGACATAACAGGACACACATAAGCTAGGTGGTATTGGAACTTCTCTTTTGTTTTCAATTTGAATTTATGCTATAAATATTCAAAGAGAAATAATAATAATAATAATAATAATAATAATAATACCCCAATGTGTTCCCTTCTTGATGGTGGCTGCCACAGTTAAGGAGGATTAAAAAAAAAACTGGGGAAATACTTTTCTTTCACACAACTGAACAGATCCTGCTCACAGCAGAAGTATCCTATGTGATGGCTAAAGTCCAGGTTAGATTACAAAAAAATTCAACCAACTAGTATACTGTACTATTTTACTCACATTCTAGGTTATGTAATCTTATTATCCAACTTCTAACACTACATATCATTTTGGTGAGATGGGTTGATTTACCTCCAAGTGTATAAAGAAACAGGCAGAAGGCTAATATCCAACTACCTCTTCATATGTTAGTATATACACCATTGTCTGATAAAGCCAACAAGTAATGAGAATAAGACTGCTGGAGGAAAACGTTTGAATACTAGAAATAAACTGCTTAAGTTAGAGGTACAGAGTTCACAAATATATCTAAGCATAAGTAAAGAAAATTTAGGAATTCAGACATAATTGTGAAATGGATGTATTATTTAGCAGTTAAATTATTTTGTGGAGTCAGAAATATTGTATTGCAAAATAAATTTCCAGCTACAGTAACAGACACTGCATTTTTTAGAAGAGTTTAAAACTAGAGACCAAACCAGCCCAGAACAGTAAAGGAAGAAAAGTAAATTCTTTTTTGTGTATCTTAAGGTAGAAACAACGAAGAATAGGCAGTACCAGATAAAGAGCAAAAAGATGAGGTCAGAGACTGCCTGCCTGAAACTATTTAAGCTACTTCCTTTGTTTCCTTACTCATTATTTATAATGAATGTCAAAAATAAGTAGAACCACTGACATCATGGTAAAAGGAATCAAGGAAAATTAAAGAAGCTAAAGGTCACATCAATAGGTGAACATATCATCATTTTAAACCAAGAGACTATTGAAAAGATAGCTTTACCATGTATTTTCTCAGGAGAGTCACAGGAAGACTGTTAAATGGGACACCTCTTTGACAGACTATGGATAACCATCCACATTTTTTAAAAAAATTATTATTATTTTCCCCTTAAAATCTTGAAAAACAGAAACATTAAGTTTACATTGGAACATTCAGTGAAAGAGGATAATACTTCTGAAATTCTAGGCTCCAGCGGTGTAAGTTAAAAAGCTTACCTACTACTTAAAAAGCAAAAAGAATACTGTAATAAAGAGCACACAAAAATAAGTAGCACAAGAAGAAGTTGTTACAGATAAACAAAGGATAAAAATATCAAATGCAATTCAATCTTCTTCCATGAAACAGAACTTTGAACAATATCAACCTCATTCAAAGATGAAATCACAAGAACTCAAAGTAACTTAAATTACACTGGGTTCTCTTTTGGATTCTCAACTTTCTGTATGACAAAACTTTATAGCTAGACTAACAGAGAAGTTGCAAATATGTACAATTAGAAATGAAAGTGGGGATACCACAACCAAACCTATGGAAAGAAAAAGGAACATAAGAGCATACTATGAACAACTGTACGTACAAATTAGGTAACTTAGAAAATGGACAAATACCTAGAAACACAAACTTCCTACAGTGACTCAGGAAGAAAAAGATCTCAAGAAACCGATAACAAGTGAAGAGATTGAATCAGTAATCAAAAACCTCCCAAAAACAAAAAAAAAAAAAATACAAGTCCTGGACTAGATGGTATCACTAGAGAATTCTCCCAAACATTTATAATGTTGTTGTTGTTGTTGTTGTTATGTGCCATCGAGTCAAACCCGACTCATAGCGACCCCTCCTTGGGTTTCCAAGGCAGTATCACTATGGAAGTAGGATTGCCCAACCTTCCTTCCGAGGAGTGGCTGGTGGGTTTGAACCACCAGCCGTCTGGTTAGCAGGCAAGTGTCTTAGTCACTATGCTACCAAAGCTCCCTATAATGACTCTAATGCTTCTTAAACTTTTCCCAAAAACAGAAGAGGAAAGAATACTTCTTTAACACATTCTGAGACTAGCATTACCCAGATGCCAAAGTCAACGACACTACAAGAAAACCACAGCCCACTATCCCTTATAAATAAATGCAAAAATTCTCAAAATACTAGCAAGCCAAATCCAACAGTATATTAAATGGATTATACACCATGATCAAGTAGGATGTAACCCAGGAATGCAAGGGTAGTTCAACATCAGAAAATCAATCAATGAAAATAAAAAAAAAACAGATTAATAAAGGAAAAGAACCACATGATCATGTCAATTGACACAGAGAAGACATTTGGCAAAATCTAACACTCTTTCATGATAAAAACACTCAAAAAACTAGGGATAGAAGGGAAAGTCCTCAATAAGATAAATGGCTGATTTTTGGAGATAGCCACATAGTTAAATCATACTCAATGGAGAAAGACAGAGAGGTTTCCCATTAAGATCTGGAACAATACAAGGATGGCTGCTTTCACCACTGCTATTCAACCCTGGACAGGAAATCCTGGCCAGAGAAATTAGGCGAGGAAAAGAAATAAAAGGTATCCAAATTGGGAAGGAAGAATTAAAACTAACCCTTTTCATATTATGACATGATCCCATACACAAAAAATCCCAATGATCCCCCCCCCCCACAAAACCCTACTACAGCTAATAAATGAATTCAGCAAAGTGGCAGGGTACAAGGTGTGTTTCTACACATCATTAACGAGCATTCTGAAAAGAACCAAGGAAACAGTTCCATTTCTAACAGCATCTAAAAGAATAAAATACCTAGGAGTAAATTTAACCAGGGAGGTAAAAGACTTGTATACTGAAAACTATTACTACTACTACTACTACTACTACTACTACTACTAAACCTTCACATTAAAATAAAGAGAGGGACAAATACTTAGCAAATACTAAAACAACAGCAACAAAGGAATTGACAATAAAACTCATAAACAAAAGGAGCTCAGCACAGAAAATTATATGGAAGAAATCAGCAATACCATGAAAAAACACAACAAAGTGACAGCAATAAATTCATACTTGTCGATAATTACATTGAATGTAAATGGATTAAATGCACCACTCAAGAGATGGAAAGTTGCAGACTGGATGAAAAAACATAACCCATCAATATGCTGTCTACAAGAGACTCACCTTAGATACAAAGACAAACATAGACTAAAAATCAAAGGTTGGAAAAAGATTTATCAGGCAAATAGCAATCTAAAAAGAGCAGGAGTAGCGATATTAATTTCTAATAAAATAGACTTTAAGACAAAAACGACCATAAGAGACAAGGAAGGACATTATGTATGTAATATGTATACATATATTATGTAACAATTATACATATATAACTATGTAACAATTAAAAGATCAATGGAATAAGAGAACGTAACATAATAACATAACCATAATAAATATCTACACACCCAATATACATAAATCAGACTTTAACAGAATTGAAAAGACTCCACAGTAATAGTAAAACAATCAAACCAAACTCACTGCCATCAAGTCAGTCCCAATTCATAGAGACCTGTCCTTGGGTTTCCAAGGCAGTATCTCTATGGAAGTTGATTGCCCAGTCTTCCTTCCTAGGAGTGGCTGGTGGGTTTGAACAGCCAGCCTACTGGTTAGCAGTCAAATGCCTTAGGCGCTATGCCACCAGATCTCCTACAGTAATAGTAGGAGACTTTAATACAGTACTTTCAATGAAAGACAGAACTGGAAAGAAATTCAACAAAGCCACATAAGAGCTAAACAATATAATCAACCAACTTGACCTTACAGACATCTATAGAGCACTTCACCACCAAACAGCACAATATACATTCTTTTCCAGCACACATGGGACATTCTCCAGGACAGTCCATAAGTTAAGCCACAAAGCAAGCCTCAATAAATTTAAAAGCACTGAAATACTGCAAAACATCTTCTCAGATCACAGTGCTATAAAATTAGAAATCAGCAACAGGAAGATCAACAGAAAAAGAGCAAACACATGGAAACTGAATAACACCCTCTTCTACTTCTGTAGTGATACTGCCTCCGAATCCCAAGGAGGGGTCACGATGAGTCAGATTCGACTTAATGGCAATGAGTTTGGTTTGGTTTTTTAAAACAACTGCGTAATAGAAGGAATAAAAAAATGAAATTAGAAATTTCCTTGAATCGAATGAGAATGAAAAC